CACCATAATGATTTTGGCATGGATTTCCTTTTTTCGAATATGTTCAAAGCTGTTTACTTTGATTGAATTCAACAAGAGGCCATTGGGGGAGAAGGACAGCTGAGCTCTTTATGAGAACACACAGAAGTAGGATTTCAGCTGTGAAGGTGAAATCAAGTCATCTCACAAGTAAAAGTTTTTTTTTTTTTTTTTGGTTAAAAAAACTTTAACAGTCAAAGTATACTTTAAAGGTATGTTCAAGTTCATAATTAAGAATAATTATATCCATTACAGGAGCCTTCTTTAACCAAGGGGACATTAAAACCTCATCTAACTGTACATAAAGGGGCCCTAACAGGGTGACTCCAATTTAAATAACTGAATCGGTTCTTAACTTTGGACGTTAAATATTAAACTCTATAGGTCTATTAACTGTGAGAGTTTGTAAAAACAGACACAAAGAAGAACTTTTTCTCGTCCTTATAACAGCAGAGATCCAAATGATCAAACCTTTAGATACGGGCACTTAGAGAGCTCCACTGTGTTTGCACACACGTCGGTCTTCTTGCATCAAGGGCATTAACTGATTATGACACTGCAACCCTTCTCTCAACTCTGTAAAGTTAATGCAAATATTTGTCTGTGGAGTGTGGACCTGGGCTGTTCATTTTGCATCCTCAAATACAAATTTATCAATATTTAAAGCTCCAGTGAGGAACTTTTGGTTTGTGTTGATTTTGGTTTAACTTGAGGACAGAAGTGTAACTGCTTTCATCATGCATCTTTCATGTTTAGAGAGACTTTTTTTAACAAAAAAAGTCATCTTGCTTTAAGTTTATGATTTACTGTGAACATTTGTCTAAGAATTTATGTTATTCTGTGTTATGTGCTTTGTTTCAGCACACTCATCTTTGACTACTCTCTAGCAGCAGATGCAGGCGTTAAATATCATTGTGTTTACTTTTACAGATCAAACAGAGCTAACAGGATAATGTTCCATGTATAAGAGGATTTGACGTGTTGCCCTTTGGATCGTCAGTGATGGCTCATTGGCCAACTGATTTTTTTAATGCAATTTTTAATGAAACATCACATGATATTAAATCTATCTATATCATCTCTATAATAAATCTATATTAAATCTGCCTCAGCAGTTACCTTGGACATGTCATGCACGGTAGTAGCTTCTGCTGGTTCATAAAGAGCTGCTGTGACAATACAAATCCCTGTGTAAAAGAAGTCAGTATCACAGCTCTATCACCATTAATGTCTTTAAATCCTGATAACTGAGATGGTCATAGATCGGTTGCTCCAGAAGTGCGTGTCGCATTTGTCATTGCTTTTGGTGAGAAACAAACAAACAAAAAAAAAGCCATTTTCCATGCACAGGGAGGCAGAGGGAAGTGTTTGTTTTTCTAGTTGCAGTGATACCCATGTTTGTGCAGTGCTGTTTTAAACACATTAACAAGTTGGACATGTACTACCAAACAATGTTGGTGGTACATGGTGTTATCCAATCATCTTTCTATTGTTGTTTTGCACCAGAAAAGTGAAGTGATTCAAGAAGCCAGCTCCTAATTATAGTGGGGATCTTCAGGGGTCTAAGTATGCTGTGTGAGTGGCAGACTCCCATTTTCCGGTGCTTGTGCGGACTCAGCACTTCTTCAGATCAGCAGGCATTTTCAGTGTACTGAACAGTTTGGTACAAAAGCGTGCACTTTCAAGGCCCTAGCTTGGATGCTTTTGGATACAGAAGGTTTCAGGATGAATCCTGTAGTCAGCTGCGGATAAAGCTACACCGATATGTTTTCAGGCAGATGATCTGCAGTAAAAAAAAAAAAAAAGAAAGAAAAGAAAAATTCCTTTATGTTATTGTCCTCGCATTTCTTCCCCTTCTTGGACTATTTCATTACCACTGTGTTAGGCCATGAGTAATGATACAAAATGTGTATTATATAATCTCTCTTCCTTAATATAAAAAGAGTAATTGCATGAGAAAGCACGACATAAAGCTGGAGGATAGGCAATGTCAGAACCAGTCCTGCATCCTGTGTGATAGACTGCAGCAATGTTAGCTCTTCATTACCTAACAGTATTTATAGAGACAAAGAGATAGTTAAAGATCACAAAGAGACTGAGGGTCGATTTCGTGTCCATGAGCGTGATATTATGTTGACACAAGTGTTCTTCCGCTTACATGCATGTCTATGTGTGTGCTCTATGTCATGCTTTATGGTGCAGATCCGTGGGAACATGCGAGAGATGAGGAGCTAAAGAAGAGCACTTGAGGCAAGAGATATCAAAAAAGGACGTAAGGCCACAGCCTTCTACGATTATATAATGTGTCATATTGATTTAATGTTATTCCCCCTACAGAGCTTTGGACAGTGAGTCACTTCTTACTTTGTAAAACAGGACTGACTGAGCATCAACAGCAAAATCAGTTTCCTTTCAAGATTAAATTAAAAATAATAAAAAAGAGATCCATCACGATTCACACCAATAATAACAACAACAGAGTTGTAACGATGTTTTAAAAAGTGTACAAAAGTTCTGGAGACTGGCATTGTAGTTTAATGTGCAATGCAAGAAATAATGAAAAACGGATTTTTATGTGAATAATGAAAACAGGGCTGCCAAATGATTCATTCTTTACTACAATTAATTGAAGATTTTTTACAGTTAAAAGCAGATAATGGCTTTTTTTTAGCAGACAATAAAAATTCCATTATTCTGCATCTCAAAGCAGAACATTAGTCCATATAACTGATGTGAAACCATTCTTACCAGTGTCTTGATTTTAAAGTTACATTTATGCAGCCTCAATTTACGATCCAATGATTAGTATTTATATTTTTCCTTTTTTTTATTTTACCTCATTGTATTGTTTATTTTAATAACTGATTCACTTTGTCAATCCTTTTTTTATTATTGTTATTTTATCTTGTTAATTTTGACATTATGTTTCATTTTTTTTTGTTTTCTCGTTTTTTGTTCATTATTCTATTATTTTTCCTTTTTTTTTTCTTTTTTTATTTCATTTTAACTGATTTCAAGTTATTTGTGAGGATAACACTATTGCACATAAAGAAATATGCAGGAGTAAAAAATATCCGATCACCTTTGATTTTTAATTGCAAATGTTTTACGACAATGATTCTTCACTCACATCCACTGATTCCTTGTTAATGCATCAGCCTGTGCATTTGTTAGGAGTTACAGTTTGGTTGCTTACTCTGTTTCACATTGGCCCTTTATTCTTCAGGAAAAAAAATAAATAAATAAATAAACTGCCTACAATGAGCCACAAATGAGGCATATAACTGGCCCCAGCCACAGAGTGTATAATAACTGGTCTGAGGGTTGGTAACCTCACCAATTATTTTGAGGCCTGTCGCCTATGTTGGTAATGCTGACATGTTTATGTGCCTACATTACATGTAATGCTTTACAACAACTGCACATATCCACAATGCACTGTAGACAATAAGGCAATAAATCTTGCTTTAGCCACAATCAACAGCCATACTCCACATGATTTGTGAAGAAGTACAAATCCCATCCTCACCCTCTGATACATGACCAGCTGTGTAGTTAAATACGAAACGGTATTAATTGAAAAAATAGTCTAAAAAAGGAATGGTGATTAAAATGTGCACATTGTCTTTTAATTCATACTCATCTGTGAGTAAAACAGCTGCAGCCCTGCTGGAGCAGACTGGGTAAAAAAAAACAAAAAACAAAAAAAAACAAGATGAAATGTGTGACTGCTCGGCTTAATCATTCTGCTGTTTTTCCTCTAACTGTGGGCAGGTTGTAAATGTGAGACAGACCATCTTTTGTTGGGAGACACCTGTCAATAGTGCTGAAGGACCAAGAAGAAAAATAATCCTCAGTCTGTCTCTGAGTGATGAGAGAGTTATCCTTCTTGAAGGAGCTACATGCATTTGCATTTGTTAACTTTGTCTGTGATTTCTGCAGAAGACTCCTCACTGCCTGTCTGAGTGTGAGATTTCATTACTCGGCCTTTAAAGCATGAAAGTTCAGAAAGAACTAATCTCTTTATAACCTTGCCTCACTTCAAACTGACATTTAACCTTAATCATCATACTGACTGACAACATGTGGACTGAAGAGGATTACTTTTTGTTATTCAGGGGTGTTTTTTTTTTTTCTATCAACCCAATTTCCATGACATTACGATCAACTTTCTACCTTTGACACAGTTTCTGTTGCTCGACTGTTATTCGTAATGGGGCTGCATGACTGAAGTGAAGAGCATTCAGTCTCCAGAATAAAGGACATAGTCGGTATTTGATGTTTTGAGAACAAGAAGTGGCTGTCACTAAAAACGCCACTGTGCTCAGCTGTGTGTGTGGAATTAACTGCAGTGGCACTGCAGTGAGTCGAAACAAAAACACAATATACCTGAGCAACTTAATAAATTGAACTATTCCATCGTTTCAGGATTTCATGTCATCAAAGTGCAGAGACAAGATGAATAGAAGAAAGGCTGCTGGAAACTATGAGAAACAATTGGACTTCCTGGTGAGTTCTGAGATGAATCAAAGCTCAGGGTTCGTAAATTGTCTGTCTGGAGTGAATGAATGCAGACTGCAAAAACACTCAGGTGGTTAAATTTTCACAAACAACGCTTGTTTCAAAATCTGCTATGTTATATTATTATATTTATCTTTATGGACAGACTTGAGGTAAAAATATAACACACACACAATACATGGACAAACATGAAATAACACATAAATAGACATGCACGTAATGGTTAAAATACATACAAATGTTGAAGTCAATCTTTCCAAAGGCTGGAGGAAGATCTTGCCTCCCTTATGGTGTGGTAAGTCAAAGACCTTATGATACCATTATTAGACTCAGTCAGCCTGCTTAAAATACTGAGTAATGCTTGAAAAGCAGGAACATTAGAGTTCACAAACATCGTACTCACTCTTTCCCATATTGGGTACTCAAAGAGGATCATTATAAACCACCTTTATCTTGTTCATCTTCCCCTTACTATGACTACACCGTGGATATGCTGTGTGAAGTGAGGTGCAGTAGGCTCTAAAAGGGGCTGTTTTGAAATCATCAGTGCACATATCAAATTTGTGTGCCAGCATATTTGCCTGGGCATACAGTTTATAGCACTGATGCTGAAGCTCTTCGTCATTTAAGTTATCCCTGATCATATGACTTTAGCCTCTGATCCTCCTTAGTTCTGGCTATCATGATGACACTCTTTTTGGGATTAAATTTCATGTCCTTCTGCATACAATATTTGATACAAATTCAGAGCAGTTGCTATAAACCAGCACAATAAGGTGATATAATGATGTTATCATGATTATGTCATCAGCATACATTAATTGATTAATAAGCTGGTTCCCCACCGTACTTCCTGTCTTACACTCATCTAACTCTCTAAACAGATCATGCATATACAGGTTCAAAAGGAAACGTGACAATATCCCACCTTGTTTGACTCCATTAGTAACAGGAAATGGGGTTGACATGGTTTTACCCAATCTACCTTGTCTGACTCCATTAGTAACAGGAAATGGTATTGACATGGTTTTACCCAATCTAACTTGCATGGTTGAGTGAAAGTACCAATTATGCAGAATTTTCATTAAATATGGGGGCACTCCTCGCTCTCACAGCTTGATATACAATCTGCCATAATCAGTGTGGTCAAAGGCTTTAGACACATCTAAAAAAAAAAACACAAACACTGATGTATTATGCAATATATAATTAGCAACAAGTTCTTTAAAGGCACAAATACACAAGTCAGTGCCATGCTTGTTTTTGAATCCAAATTGCTTATCAGTTGTTATTGCATAATTCTCGAAGCCTATCATGCAAGATCTGTTGGATAGTATACAAGCCAAAGCAGTTGGTCTGTACTTATCTATGCTTGATGCTTTTCAAGTTTAGTCTGATGGTTGGTGCTAGAAATACAGATAGCATGGAGTCAGGTAATATGCCATGAAACAACAATCCAAACAAACACATGGCAAGTGACACTGGGAGTCTGTGGCTAGCATATTTCGGGTGTTCAGCTGTCATTTTGTCAGGACCACATGCTTTGTTCATGGCCAGTTTCCTAATTGCACAGAGCACTTCACTTGCCAAAATAGTCATATCATCATTATTGACCACCAGTGTTGCCAACTTAACGACTATGTCACGATATTTAACAACTTTTTAGACCCCCCAGTGACATTTATTTTTTTTTTTGTCAAAAGTGACTAGCATCAAATCTAGTGACTTTTTCTGAAGTTTGGAGACTCTGACATGAAAGCAGATGAAGTGGTCTAGCGACTTCTAGGTCAGCCTTGAGTGATATTTCTTACCGAGGAGTTGACTACGCCTGTTAACTAAATCGCCAACCTTATACTCAGCACTCTCAACACAGTAAAAAATTCCCCTAAAAATGTGTTCCCCACAGCTCAGCAATATTTTCATCCCCAGAGATCCCATCAATATTAGATGGCAGAGGCATCTTACTGCTATTGGAGGCTTTAACATCTTTCCAGAACTCATAGACATCAGTCTGCTGCAGTTTTTTTGCCATGGAATTTACCCTCATCATCTGCTCATTTTTCAAAATAAAACTTACTGCATATTTAAACTTTGCATTTGCCTTCTTCTTATGTTCAAACTCTGAGCCATATTTTCCAGCTAAGACCCAGCTGTGCAAGGCTTTTTTGTGTGCCTCTGTGTGAAGCTCTTATAGATGTTCATTCCACCCTGGACTAATGATTTGTTTTTTCTTGTGTACAGTGCTCACTGCCATTATTTAAGTAGTTTACTATTTTTTATACATTCGTAATATATAAGAGTCGTACTCGTCTTTCTTGTTGTTTCACAAGAGAGTGTTATATTAATATTACTGAGACTTCAATCAGTCAGAGAGCTATACTTGGTCCAATGTCATGGAGAGAGGTATATGATCTGTTGGGGCCAGACTATAAAGGATCTCAGCCTCCATTAAGCACTCATGAGCATTAGCTGTACATATTGATCCAGCGAGGATGTTGTATGTCATGCTTTACTAATACTGTATATGTATAGCTGTTAGCTGGTAACATCACTTTGCTTGATAGAACTAGCTTGTTGTTTACACAGACCTGATTATGATGTCTTCCAAATACAGACCCATCATCTGAGGTATCAGACTTCAAATTCCCCAACATAAATATGCATTCACGTTCTCTCATAAAAGAGCTTATGGGCTAACCTTTCACAACTTCTTTATCTTTTTTTTATTAGGCATAGTTGTTGATTTAATCCTGCCCGAACCATACATAGGTCCTTACATATGCCTGCAGACATAGCGTGTTTCATGGTTGATCCATACCCAATTGTTCCCTTTCTTCCAGTACCCAGGAGACGTCTAGGCTACTGGAAGTCTTGGTAGTTCTTACAAGCGATTAGATACAAATCAAAAAATGTTTTCGCCAACCTTGTTAAGCAGTTAAGCAGCAACTTTCGTTGTTTTAAACTTTAACTTGTTCTTTGTTGTTCACATTCTTTTGCTGCCCATTATGCACAACAAAACATGAAGTGATATGTGGACAGAATCCAAACAAAACTTAACTTGAGCTCTCGATTCATTCTGACCCAAAGTGATTCACAGTCATTAAAATGACATCATCCTGGTTGAAAGTTTTCATTTTAACTGAGAAAGTTCAAGAATTCATCTTCCATTACAGTTTTTCACCAGCTATAGAGTAAATCTTCAGTTTTATTCTACTTTTCCTTGGAGGAGCAGCACCTTTATCTGCAGCCTCCGCCATGACACCTATGATTCAAACTCTTACATATCTAGGGTGACTATATTCTGAATCCCTAAAAAGAGGACACGACTACGGGGGGCGTAGTTGTGTGCATGCAAAATCTTGAGGGTTTTTCGGTTGGGTAGAGTGTTTTTCTCCCTGTTCGTTGGCTCACCAGCAGACAGTGCATGAGTGTGTCGTGTCAGTGGCTTGGCTTAGAACTGAGCGGAGGGGCAGAGAGCACTGATGCGCTGCACTGTTTTATAATAGATGAATACATGTTCCGGGGTTTGGGGTGGAACTCTGCCTCTCAGAGTGTGTTTCCAAATGAACCATTGAACATGTATGGTAAATACAATGGCCTGTGATGGGAAGATTAAGTCTACGCTACACAAAGTCAAAACTATGAGAGACTGTTTCAGCCAGTGGAAAAAAAAAGGGCTTCCACACAAAACCCCAGACATTTGAAGGATTTTAAAAACTCCCCCTGGACAGGCCGAACAGTCCCCCAACAGAGGACATGTCCGGGTAAAAGAGGACATATGGTCACCCTACACATATCTACTTACAATTACATATCTGTGAGGAAAGACGTGACACCACACATTTTACATGTCCACAGGTCTGTCTTTTTTCCATATTTCACATGCATATTAACTAAATCTGCCAAAACGTAAATCTGAATGAGATTACAGGCATTGATGGCCTTGCAATTCTACTTTTTTTGCAAATGTGTGCAAATTCCAACAGCTCTTGCAGCTGCTCAGCATGGAGATCCGTCGCATTTCAGTCAGATCGGCAGATAATCTTTTGGATTTGAATTGGAAATGTAAGAGGAAGACAGAAGCTGTTTATTCCATGCAAATGCACTGCAAAGCATATGTGGGAGTAAAATCTTAAATCATAAGAGGTCCCTTGCTAACAATAGTCTAGTATGAATGAAAGATAAAACAGACATTTACAGTTTTAAAAAGTTTTAGGATGCTTTTACAGACAGTCATGTATCATAACATCCTTTTCCATCTTCTACCAAGCTGCTGATGTGAAAGAAACCCTCTTTCCCCACTCCGAACCAACAAGAGTATACATACATGTCCACCCCTGGCTATATGTGTTCTTATATGTGTGAGTAGTATGACTCAGTCTCCGGGGTGTGGTTGGACATTGGGGGTGCATTCCAGGCAGATAATGAGCAGATGGCATGGGAACACAGGCACGCCTGCCGCCATCCATCTGGGGCCGTTCTACAGGTGAGGTATAAAGTGTTAACTCGCAGAAAAAAGTATCTGACATCAAAGTGGTAAACAGGATGGCCGGACATGAAAGAAAAACACAGCAGTGTGACTTGAGGCCCAGTCATGAGGGGATGGATTTGTCTGTTGATCAGCCAAAGCAGCAGACAGTCTCTGAGAGAAAGTGAAGACAAAGGCAGGAAAAACTCGCTGTGAAGGACACACAGATGGGAAGGACTGTATGGGTTCTGCAGGCTTTAGACAAGGATACATGGCCTTGAGAAGTAAACCAAGAGTGAACATACTGTAGTGGCCTGGTAATACATCCATAAATGGTTTTATACCAATCACACAAACATAATTCTTGTTGAAGACACTTTCCCCCCTCAAATGCTTACTTTTTAGATTTAAATCAATACATCCAACAGACCACTCAGGCAAGGGTCTGATTACAGGATAGCCCAGTGAATCAGAGAGCTGGTTGAAAGCATAGAACTGGGTCTGTTTAATGCATGTGTCACAAGAAAACATGGACCAAACAAGATTTCTCTTCCATTGTCAGGTGGATTGCAAAACAAGTACAAGTTTAAACAAAACTCCAGTTGTCTGAGCCATACCTAAAAAGTATATTTATATGACGTTTAAAAAAACACAACGTTAACCAAGTGTTTTTATCAGTCAAGCAAAAGTAAACAATCAAACACAAGAAACTCAAACAGCAAAATGACCAAATCAACAAAAAGCCCAATAGAAAATAGCAAAGTTAGGAGACAGTGTGGTGTTTAATTATTTAGCAAAGCGGCAGCATATAAATAGAAAATAACATTGGACCTAAATCTGAACCTTGTGGTACACCAAAGGTACTGTTGTAGACAACAAGTGAATACCTTTACCACTGAGATTTAGTCTAAAAGGTGTCAACAAAAGGTGTTCACACAAAATCTATCGCAAGTTTAATAGTTAAAGCCAAACAAACATAAATTCAAATGTTGATTGTGGATGATGATACAGCTATCTAGGGATATCAGTTCTGGTTAGGGAATTTTATGTTGTCCATGTTATGTCATAATGGAATAGCAGGCTACTGATGCAAATAATGAAGTGATGCACTTCAGATTGAAGAGGAAGTAGAAAGGCATGAAAGACGATGAGAATTCTGAAGAACTGAATGACAGAGAAATCAACAACAGGAAGAAGAAACATGACAGTGACACGAAACAGAAAATGGACTATTTCAATATTGATCAAAAAGCAAAAATTGAATGTTAATCTGTGATCTATCTATTAAGTCTTTTGGGCTTTTATAGATATCTCTGCTTTTGAGAGTGCAACAAAATCTCAATCAGTTGCTACAGTGATTCACATGGTCTTGTTCCTCTATCTGACTGCATCACAAACATTAATATCCAGTTTCATTAAACCTATCCACCATTTTTTTCACTTTAGTGGCGAAACAGGGTTACTGGATCATGCAGGGGTGCAAGAAAGTTTTTTACCTATAATATAGTAACTATTTCTGTCTCCACCTGTCATATCTACTCTTAACACTCAAGTTTCTTCAGATGTTAAATTCCTCTGTTAGACTTCCTCTTCAAAAAGTAACACACCAGACTGGCAATACTTAGTGAAATATTACCAATAAATGTATTTTTGAAAGTTATATAGAGCGAAAGCTAGAGTTTGCCCTAAATTTTGATAAACTAAATCTTCTCCTGCAGACCTGTCTCGCAGAATAAATGTGTTCAGTATTTTTCTCCAGCTGATACCCTCCATGAGGAGTTTTTCTCTGGTGCCTGTGAGAAGACTCACAGCATGCTGAAGAAATTGCTTTTCTTTACATTTTTGTTGAATGACTGAGAAAAAGATCTGCAAAGCTTTGGGTTGTATATTTTTGGCCACAGGGAGCGCCAAAATCAATACTAAATAAAATTTTCTGACAGCAGATTTAGAGTGCTGACTTAAGAAAAGGTACACTTGGAGAAGCCTGTGGCAACACAGTACAAGAAGTTGCCTGCAACAGGGTAAAACACCGATTATGGATGAGGATTCTAGGCCCTGACCAACCCTCTGGACAAGATTCTGCTTTAAAAGCAGTAGCTCAGGAGGTAGAGCGGTTGTCCAATAACTGGAAGGTTGGTAGTTTGATTACCACCTATCCCTAGTCTGTCGGTTGTGTCCTTGGGCAAGACACTTAACCCACCTTGCTCCCAGTGTTTGTCCTCCACTGGTGTTTGATTGTGAGTGTTCTATAGTGGTGGTCGGAGAGGCCGTAGGCGCAAACCGGCAGCCACGTTTCCATCAGTCTGCCCCAGGGCAGCTGTGACTACTACGGTAGTTTACCACCTCCAGGGTGTGACTGTGTGAGCGAATGACTGATGTATCCGATGTAAAGCGCTTTGTCATCACTGACAAAAAGTGCTATAAAATCTGATGCATCATTATTATGATTACTTTTAAAAGCTTTGGTGGGTTGTTTTAAGGGTACATGGTTTACTGACAATGTGGATGTCGATAATGTCAAACTCATGGACAACATTTTGGATGATGAAGAAAGAACATAAATATATAAATAAAACTGTTTTCACAGCTACGTTTTTACACAAAAAATGATTTCAACTAATGACAAAAATTCTTTACATAACAGTCATGCCTCAGTATATTCCATGTTAACAACATTCCCAGTAATTAAAAAACAAAAAATCTTTAAACTTCATCTAGCCAACCAGTCTAAAAATGTAAACAACGACACAAAGAAAACTGTCCAGACTGGACACAGATAATCATTAAGGCTGAACACAGATTTGCAGGGTCTGTTGAAAAAGTGTAAAACTTGGTTTTCCAATGTGGCTAACAATAGCAGAGCTAGCACCAACAACTTTTGTTCTTCCTGCAGGCTAATGTAGACATTCCTGTGCTGTTTGGCATCACAAAAACGGAGTGATTAAATGCCAGTTTGGTGTACAACATACAACCTTAGCAACACTTTCATGATCAAAATACTCACAATTCTTATTTAGGGCCCGAGCGTAGCTGCTAAGCAGCTGCGAGAGCCCTATTATTCCCCAAGGGGTTTTTCTTTGTTTCTTTTTTCTTTTTCCTCCCCTTTGAACTGGAAAATGGCCCACTTCCCACTGGCGAAAACTCATGAAATTTGGCAGGACGACCGGGCCTGGTGAAAAATTTGATATTCCGAAGTCGCCCAAACAAGAAAATGCAAAATGGCTCCATAGCGCCCCCTAAGGTGAAAATTCACACTATTGAGTGTCACGCCTGTACGCTTTGTCAAAATGACACAAAATTTGACACACACATGTATCTCAATAAGATCTACAAAAAAGTCAGTGCGGGCGTATCTGTCAAATGTACGGTTAAAGGGTTATTTCGCATTTTTTGCCGATCCGCACACATTGGAATTTCGCTAACTCCTTTGAAGGCTTTCGTTCCACTGGCACCACATTTGCTCAGGCCAATCTACACCCCATGGCCATTAAAAGTTATTCAAATCATGACGCTGCACCCCACGGTTTAGGTTCTAGGGGGCGCCAAAGATAACCCTAAAATCCACATATTTAAAAGTCTTATAACTTTTTATTTTTGCCCTCACTGGCCTCCAAGTTTTCTAGGATGATGCAATGTCCAGCCATCAACACATTTGTGAAGGAATTTTTACTCCCCAAAAGAGCGCCCCCCCATGGCAGGAGAAAAAAGTCCATTTTTTCTTGTCCCCTAAGGTGAAAATACACATTGTTGAGTGTCACGCCTGTACGCTTTGTCAAAATGACACAAAAATTGACACACACATGTATCTCAATAAGATCTAGAAAAAAGACCATGCGCGCGTATCTGTAAAATGTACGGTTAAAGGGTTATTCCGCATTTTTTGCCGATTCGCACACATTGGAATTTCGCTAACTCCTCCGAAGGCTTTCGTTCCACCGGCACCACATTTGCTCAGGCCAATCTACACCCCATGGCCATTAAAAGTTATTCAAATCATGACGCTGCACCCCACGGTTTACGTTCTAGGGGGCGCCAAAGATAACCCAAAAATCCACATTTTTAAAAGTCTTATAACTTTTTATTTTTGTCCTCACTGGCCTCCAAGTTTTCTAGGATGATGCAATGTCCAGCCATCAACACATTTGTGAAGGAATTTTTACTCCCTAAAAGAGTGCCCCCCATGGCAGGAGAAAAAAGTCCATTTTTTCTTGTCCCCTAAGGTGAAAATACACATTGTTGACTGTCACGCCTGTACGCTTTGGCAAAATGACACAAAAATTGACAATCATGTGTATCTCAATTAGATCTACGAAAAAGTCAAAGAGCGCGTATCTGTATAATGTACGGTAAAAGGGCTATTTTGCATTTTTTGCCGATTCGCACACATTGGAATTTCGCTAACTCCTCCTAAGGCTTTCGTCCCACTGACACCAAATTTGCTCAGGCCAATCTACACTCCATGGCCATTCAAAGTTGTAAAAATCATGATGCTGCACCCCACGGTTTACGTTTTAGGGGGCGCCAAAGATGACCCAAATATACATTACAGTAGACAAAGTAGTTTTGCCCACTGAGTGGCGCCAAAGGGACTTGTCTGTGGAGTCTGTGAGTCACTATTGGCCGTTTTTGACTACTTTAGATTTTACCTTTATATTTCCTCTTACAAAATTTTTACCTTGCCTTGCCTGGTATCATTTTTTTCAGCACAACCTCACCTGTGTCAATTTACAGTTATTTTATCATTTTGACATACTATATTTACACATTGGACCCAAATTCACACACAAAACATAAAATCCGAGTAGAAAAAAGTAACGTTTTTACTGTGAAAACCACAAATATGTGTGATGAACTGTTTTTAAAACTTAAACTTCAAATTAAAATTGTAAACTTCAAAACATATGCAAATTTTTAACAAAGAACATAGTAATTTACCTCTATTTACATCAAAATGCAGGCAATGGCCCAGGTGTTCTTTGTAAAATTATTTACAAAACACTGTATAGTCTCACAAATGTCACTTTTTATTTATGCCACTACAAAAAAACATGATGTAAATGATGCATGATGTAAAACATGATGTAAAAAACTTGTGTAGATCCTCCTCTATGTTAGTCCATGTGTAATTTTTCCATAATTCTTTGTTTTTTGCAGCATTTTTGTTAGTGTAACTGCAGATTGTGCTGACAGTGTCTATGGCAAAAAAAAAAAAAAAAACTGAAAATGCCTCAACATGAACCCCTGGTGGTCTCTGAGGGTGAAACCTGCTAACTGCTGCAGCTCTGTCAGCTTCAGTCTCCCATGCAGAGCTCGGAGCGCATGTGTGGCTCTGCACCCTTAGCAGCGTTGCTAACTCCTCAGTAAGGAAAGCCTGCTTCATGTCAGAGTCTCTAAACTCCAGAAGAAGTCGATAAAAGTCACTTTCTTTCTAAAAAAAAGTCGTTAGGGGGTCTGAAAAGTCATTGAATCTAACAACAAAGTCGCTAGGTTTGCAACTACGTGTCCCAGACTGCATCCCTGCTGAGAGTCCCTCCCTCCCTTCTCATATTGCAGGAAGAACGTAAGCGCCCGCCCCTTGTCAATCAGTCACCATATAATTTTGGATTGGTTGTTGTGGTGAAGTTTTCCACCAATAGGAGAGATGTTGTGGTGTGTTTTTTTTTTCCTTTGGCAAGCCTTTTCCGCCTGTAAGACCTGTCGCTAATGTCTGCATGCTATGTTTTCCTGTCTCATACAGCGCGATCGAGCGCCGAACGTGATCAAAATAAGCAGAAAACAAGTATCGCGGACATAATTTATCATAACTCTGGTTTTATTTGGCCTATCAACACAATTTAAAAACTGGTATATAGGTTGAGGTCCTCACTTTTGAGATAAGTTGAAACGGAGTCAACGAGGCTCCGTCTTGCAGCTACATCCGGTTAAATATGTCATGTGACTTGAACGCACACACACACACACACACACACACACACACACACAGACACACACACACACGCACACACACACACTCAGAGTCTGGTTTTTAGCACCTGCAAAAACATGCTATTTACATATTTGACAAGAATGCAGAGGCTCCTTTTGCCCCTGAAAAAAATCAAATTTCAAACACAACTTGACTGGTCATTTCTCCAAAAGACAACCATGAAGCTCCATCCAAACCTGAAGCAGGCAGTTGGTGCATGTGTACAGTAACCTGAGGGGAGTGAGGTGACTGCTTCTGAGGAGAACATGAGCAGTGAAGATTCACCTTAGAGCTAGAACAGAGACGTGCACATGATTATACAGGGGCAGGGGCTCAAGTTTTTTCCAGTTGTTTATACAATATGGAAATTAATGTGAAATTAAAAAACAAAGTATTAATAGAAAGGTAATGACTGTCCTGAGTAGGTGACAGTGATATCCAATAGGCTAGGCACTCAAGAGGCTGGCTGTGGCAAGTGTAAGTGAAAGCAACACGCACTGGCAGGAAGAACAGCAAACGCCGATGAAGGAAAAGGGTCTTTGCAGTGATGGGCGTTACCAGAGAGGGCGATGGCCAGAGGACACAAATGGGACGGGGAGGCAGCGCGTTGGGGGGGGGACGCGACACAGCTCGGGCCCGCCAGTGCCCCAACGGGGTCCTAGTGTTATTAGGGCCCGAGCGTAGCTGCTAAGCAGCTGCGAGAGCCCTATTATTCCCCAAGTGGTTTTTCTTTGTTTCTTTCTTTCTTTCTTTCTTTCTTTCTTTCTTCTTTTTCCTCCCCTTTGAACTGGAAAATGGCCCACTTCCCACTGGCGAAAACTCATGAAATTTGGCAGGACGACCGGGCCTGGTGAAAAATTCGATATTCTGAAGTCGCCCAAACAATAAAATGCAAAATGGCTCCATAGCGCCCCCTAAGGTGGAAATTCACACTATTGACTGTAACGCCTGTACGCTTTGTCATATTGACACAAAAATTGACACACATATGTATCTCAATAAGATCTACAAAAAAGTCAGTGGGGCCGTATCTGTCAAATGTACGGTTAAAGGGTTATTTCGCATTTTTTTCAGATCCGCACACATTGGAATTTCGCTAACTCCTCCGAAGGCTTTCGTTCCACCGGCACCACATTTGCTCAGGCCAATCTACACCCCGTGGCCATTAAAAGTTATCAAAATCATGACGCTGCACCCCAAGGTTTAGGTTCTAGGGGGCGCCAAAGATAACACTAAAATCCACATATTTAAAAGTCTTATAACTTTTTATTTTTGTCCTCACTGGCCTCCAAGTTTTCTAGGATGATGCAATGTCCAGCCATCAACACATTTGTGAAGGAATTTTTACTCCCCAAAAGAGCGCCCCCCATGGCAGGAGAAAAAAGTCCATTTTTTCTTGTCCCCTAAGGTGAAAATACACATTGTTGAGTGTCACGCCTATACGCTTTGTCAAAATGACACAAAAATTGACACACACATGTAACTCAATAAGATCTACGAAAAAGTCAATGCGCGCGTATCTGTCAAATGTACGGTTAAAGGGTTATTCCGCATTTTTTGCCGATCCGCACACATTGGAATTTCGCTAACTCGTCCGAAGGCTTTCTGTCCACCGGCACCACATTTGCTCAGGCCAATCTACACCCCATGGCCATTAAAAGTTATTCAAATCATGACGCTGCACCCCACGGTTTAGGTTCTAGGGGGCGCCAAAGATAACCCTAAAATCCACATATTTAAAAGTCTTATAACTTTTTATTTTTGCCCTCACTGGCCTCCAAGTTTTCTAGGATGATGCAATGTCCAGCCATCAACACATTTGTGAAGGAATTTTTACTCCCCAAAAGAGCGCCCCCCCATGGCAGGAGAAAAAAGTCCATTTTTTCTTGTCCCATAAGGTGAAAATTCACACTATTGACTGTCACACCTGTACGCTTTGTCAAAATTACACAAAAATTGACACACACATGTATCTCAATAAGATCTACAAAAAAGTCAGTGCGGGCGTATCTGTCAAATGTACGGTTAAAGGGTTATTGCGCATTTTTTGCCGATCCGCACACATTGGAATTTCGCTAACTCCTCTAAAGGCTTTCGTTCCACCGGCACCACATTTGCTCAGGCCAATCTACACCCAATGGCCATTAAAAGTTATTCAAATCATGACGCTGCACCCCACGGTTTAGGTTCTAGGGGGCGCCAAAGATAACCCTAAAATCCACATATTTCAAAGTCTTATAACTTTTTATTTTTGCCCTCACTGGCCTCCAAGTTTTCTAGGATGATGCAATGTCCAGCCATCAACACATTTGTGAAGGAATTTTTACTCCCCAAAAGAGCGCCCCCCCATGGCAGGAGAAAAAAGTCCATTTTTTCTTGTCCCATAAGGTGAAAATACACATTGTTTAGTGTCACGCCTGTACGCTTTGGCAAAATGACACAAAAATTGACACACACATGTATCTCAATAAGATCTACGAAAAAGTCAATGCGCGCGTATCTGTCAAATGTACGGTTAGAGGGTTATTTCGCATTTTTTGCCGATCCGCACACATTGGAATGTGGCTAACTCGTCCTAAGGCTTTCGTCCCACTGACACCAAATTTGCTCAGGCCAATCTACACCCCATGGCCATTCAAAGTTTTAAAAATCATGACGCTGCACCCCACGGTTTACGTTCTAGGGGGCGCCAAAGATGACCCAAATATCCACATTCTTAAAAGAATCGACATCCCCCCCCCCCCCCCCCCCATCCCCCATCCCCCATCCCCCATGGCAGGAGAAACAGTCAAGTTTTTCCTGCCCATCACTCAATGGCTCAATCGCATCGCTCTCCTGGCAACACCGTAACGAGGAGCAACTTGCCGTTTGGATATATCCTAGCTGTGTTTGTGCCCTCACTCATGGTCCAGACTTTTTTCAAATAGGACATGTAGTTTGTCTGCAGCGAGTGTTTTGGTAGAAACTGCGCCTCCCATTCATTATAATGGGAAATGACCACAGACAAGTGCGCACACCATCTTTGGACCTTGAGTGTGACGCGATCGGAAGGGGGAGGTGGTCGCACTGGGGGCGGCGCGACGCGGCTCGGGCCCGACAGTGCCCCACCGGGGCCCTAGTTTGTTATTAGGGCCCGAGCGTAGCTGCTAAGCAGCTGCGAGAGCCCTATTATTCCCCAAGGGGTTTTTCTTTGTTTCTTTTTTCTTTTTCCTCCCCTTTGAACTGGAAAATGGCCCACTTCCCACTGGCGAAAACTCATGAAATTTGGCAGGACGACCGGGCCTGGTGAAAAATTTGATATTCCGAAGTCGCCCAAACAAGAAAATGCAAAATGGCTCCATAGCGCCCCCTAAGGTGAAAATTCACACTATTGAGTGTCACGCCTGTACGCTTTGTCAAAATGACACAAAATTTGACACACACATGTATCTCAATAAGATCTACAAAAAAGTCAGTGCGGGCGTATCTGTCAAATGTACGGTTAAAGGGTTATTTCGCATTTTTTGCCGATCCGCACACATTGGAATTTCGCTAACTCCTTTGAAGGCTTTCGTTCCACTGGCACCACATTTGCTCAGGCCAATCTACACCCCATGGCCATTAAAAGTTATTCAAATCATGACGCTGCACCCCACGGTTTAGGTTCTAGGGGGCGCCAAAGATAACCCTAAAATCCACATATTTAAAAGTCTTATAACTTTTTATTTTTGCCCTCACTGGCCTCCAAGTTTTCTAGGATGATGCAATGTCCAGCCATCAACACATTTGTGAAGGAATTTTTACTCCCCAAAAGAGCGCCCCCCCATGGCAGGAGAAAAAAGTCCATTTTTTCTTGTCCCCTAAGGTGAAAATACACATTGTTGAGTGTCACGCCTGTACGCTTTGTCAAAATGACACAAAAATTGACACACACATGTATCTCAATAAGATCTAGAAAAAAGACCATGCGCGCGTATCTGTAAAATGTACGGTTAAAGGGTTATTCCGCATTTTTTGCCGATTCGCACACATTGGAATTTCGCTAACTCCTCCGAAGGCTTTCGTTCCACCGGCACCACATTTGCTCAGGCCAATCTACACCCCATGGCCATTAAAAGTTATTCAAATCATGACGCTGCACCCCACGGTTTACGTTCTAGGGGGCGCCAAAGATAACCCAAAAATCCACATTTTTAAAAGTCTTATAACTTTTTATTTTTGTCCTCACTGGCCTCCAAGTTTTCTAGGATGATGCAATGTCCAGCCATCAACACATTTGTGAAGGAATTTTTACTCCCTAAAAGAGTGCCCCCCCATGGCAGGAGAAAAAAGTCCATTTTTTCTTGTCCCCTAAGGTGAAAATACACATTGTTGACTGTCACGCCTGTACGCTTTGGCAAAATGACACAAAAATTGACAATCATGTGTATCTCAATTAGATCTACGAAAAAGTCAAAGAGCGCGTATCTGTATAATGTACGGTAAAAGGGCTATTTTGCATTTTTTGCCGATTCGCACACATTGGAATTTCGCTAACTCCTCCTAAGGCTTTCGTCCCACTGACACCAAATTTGCTCAGGCCAATCTACACTCCATGGCCATTCAAAGTTGTAAAAATCATGATGCTGCACCCCACGGTTTACGTTTTAGGGGGCGCCAAAGATGACCCAAATATACATTACAGTAGACAAAGTAGTTTTGCCCACTGAGTGGCGCCAAAGGGACTTGTCTGTGGAGTCTGTGAGTCACTATTGGCCGTTTTTGACTACTTTAGATTTTACCTTTATATTTCCTCTTACAAAATTTTTACCTTGCCTTGCCTGGTATCATTTTTTTCAGCACAACCTCACCTGTGTCAATTTACAGTTATTTTATCATTTTGACATACTATATTTACACATTGGACCCAAATTCACACACAAAACATAAAATCCGAGTAGAAAAAAGTAACGTTTTTACTGTGAAAACCACAAATATGTGTGATGAACTGTTTTTAAAACTTAAACTTCAAATTAAAATTGTAAACTTCAAAACATATGCAAATTTTTAACAAAGAACATAGTAATTTACCTCTATTTACATCAAAATGCAGGCAATGGCCCAGGTGTTCTTTGTAAAATTATTTACAAAACACTGTATAGTCTCACAAATGTCACTTTTTATTTATGCCACTACAAAAAAACATGATGTAAATGATGCATGATGTAAAACATGATGTAAAAAACTTGTGTAGATCCTCCTCTATGTTAGTCCATGTGTAATTTTTCCATAATTCTTTGTTTTTTGCAGCATTTTTGTTAGTGTAACTGCAGATTGTGCTGACAGTGTCTATGGCAAAAAAAAAAAAAAAAACTGAAAATGCCTCAACATGAACCCCTGGTGGTCTCTGAGGGTGAAACCTGCTAACTGCTGCAGCTCTGTCAGCTTCAGTCTCCCATGCAGAGCTCGGAGCGCATGTGTGGCTCTGCACCCTTAGCAGCGTTGCTAACTCCTCAGTAAGGAAAGCCTGCTTCATGTCAGAGTCTCTAAACTCCAGAAGAAGTCGATAAAAGTCACTTTCTTTCTAAAAAAAGTCGTTAGGGGGTCTGAAAAGTCATTGAATCTAACAACAAAGTCGCTAGGTTTGCAACTACGTGTCCCAGACTGCATCCCTGCTGAGAGTCCCTCCCTCCCTTCTCATATTGCAGGAAGAACGTAAGCGCCCGCCCCTTGTCAATCAGTCACCATATAATTTTGGATTGGTTGTTGTGGTGAAGTTTTCCACCAATAGGAGAGATGTTGTGGTGTGTTTTTTTTTTCCTTTGGCAAGCCTTTTCCGCCTGTAAGACCTGTCGCTAATGTCTGCATGCTATGTTTTCCTGTCTCATACAGCGCGATCGAGCGCCGAACGTGATCAAAATAAGCAGAAAACAAGTATCGCGGACATAATTTATCATAACTCTGGTTTTATTTGGCCTATCAACACAATTTAAAAACTGGTATATAGGTTGAGGTCCTCACTTTTGAGATAAGTTGAAACGGAGTCAACGAGGCTCCGTCTTGCAGCTACATCCGGTTAAATATGTCATGTGACTTGAACGCACACACACACACACACACACACACACACACACACAGACACACACACACACGCACACACACACACTCAGAGTCTGGTTTTTAGCACCTGCAAAAACATGCTATTTACATATTTGACAAGAATGCAGAGGCTCCTTTTGCCCCTGAAAAAAATCAAATTTCAAACACAACTTGACTGGTCATTTCTCCAAAAGACAACCATGAAGCTCCATCCAAACCTGAAGCAGGCAGTTGGTGCATGTGTACAGTAACCTGAGGGGAGTGAGGTGACTGCTTCTGAGGAGAACATGAGCAGTGAAGATTCACCTTAGAGCTAGAACAGAGACGTGCACATGATTATACAGGGGCAGGGGCTCAAGTTTTTTCCAGTTGTTTATACAATATGGAAATTAATGTGAAATTAAAAAACAAAGTATTAATAGAAAGGTAATGACTGTCCTGAGTAGGTGACAGTGATATCCAATAGGCTAGGCACTCAAGAGGCTGGCTGTGGCAAGTGTAAGTGAAAGCAACACGCACTGGCAGGAAGAACAGCAAACGCCGATGAAGGAAAAGGGTCTTTGCAGTGATGGGCGTTACCAGAGAGGGCGATGGCCAGAGGACACAAATGGGACGGGGAGGCAGCGCGTTGGGGGGGACGCGACACAGCTCGGGCCCGCCAGTGCCCCAACGGGGTCCTAGTGTTATTAGGGCCCGAGCGTAGCTGCTAAGCAGCTGCGAGAGCCCTATTATTCCCCAAGTGGTTTTTCTTTGTTTCTTTCTTTCTTTCTTTCTTTCTTTCTTTCTTCTTTTTCCTCCCCTTTGAACTGGAAAATGGCCCACTTCCCACTGGCGAAAACTCATGAAATTTGGCAGGACGACCGGGCCTGGTGAAAAATTCGATATTCTGAAGTCGCCCAAACAATAAAATGCAAAATGGCTCCATAGCGCCCCCTAAGGTGGAAATTCACACTATTGACTGTAACGCCTGTACGCTTTGTCATATTGACACAAAAATTGACACACATATGTATCTCAATAAGATCTACAAAAAAGTCAGTGGGGCCGTATCTGTCAAATGTACGGTTAAAGGGTTATTTCGCATTTTTTTCAGATCCGCACACATTGGAATTTCGCTAACTCCTCCGAAGGCTTTCGTTCCACCGGCACCACATTTGCTCAGGCCAATCTACACCCCGTGGCCATTAAAAGTTATCAAAATCATGACGCTGCACCCCAAGGTTTAGGTTCTAGGGGGCGCCAAAGATAACACTAAAATCCACATATTTAAAAGTCTTATAACTTTTTATTTTTGTCCTCACTGGCCTCCAAGTTTTCTAGGATGATGCAATGTCCAGCCATCAACACATTTGTGAAGGAATTTTTACTCCCCAAAAGAGCGCCCCCCCATGGCAGGAGAAAAAAGTCCATTTTTTCTTGTCCCCTAAGGTGAAAATACACATTGTTGAGTGTCACGCCTATACGCTTTGTCAAAATGACACAAAAATTGACACACACATGTAACTCAATAAGATCTACGAAAAAGTCAATGCGCGCGTATCTGTCAAATGTACGGTTAAAGGGTTATTCCGCATTTTTTGCCGATCCGCACACATTGGAATTTCGCTAACTCGTCCGAAGGCTTTCTGTCCACCGGCACCACATTTGCTCAGGCCAATCTACACCCCATGGCCATTAAAAGTTATTCAAATCATGACGCTGCACCCCACGGTTTAGGTTCTAGGGGGCGCCAAAGATAACCCTAAAATCCACATATTTAAAAGTCTTATAACTTTTTATTTTTGCCCTCACTGGCCTCCAAGTTTTCTAGGATGATGCAATGTCCAGCCATCAACACATTTGTGAAGGAATTTTTACTCCCCAAAAGAGCGCCCCCCCATGGCAGGAGAAAAAAGTCCATTTTTTCTTGTCCCATAAGGTGAAAATTCACACTATTGACTGTCACACCTGTACGCTTTGTCAAAATTACACAAAAATTGACACACACATGTATCTCAATAAGATCTACAAAAAAGTCAGTGCGGGCGTATCTGTCAAATGTACGGTTAAAGGGTTATTGCGCATTTTTTGCCGATCCGCACACATTGGAATTTCGCTAACTCCTCTAAAGGCTTTCGTTCCACCGGCACCACATTTGCTCAGGCCAATCTACACCCAATGGCCATTAAAAGTTATTCAAATCATGACGCTGCACCCCACGGTTTAGGTTCTAGGGGGCGCCAAAGATAACCCTAAAATCCACATATTTCAAAGTCTTATAACTTTTTATTTTTGCCCTCACTGGCCTCCAAGTTTTCTAGGATGATGCAATGTCCAGCCATCAACACATTTGTGAAGGAATTTTTACTCCCCAAAAGAGCGCCCCCCCATGGCAGGAGAAAAAAGTCCATTTTTTCTTGTCCCATAAGGTGAAAATACACATTGTTTAGTGTCACGCCTGTACGCTTTGGCAAAATGACACAAAAATTGACACACACATGTATCTCAATAAGATCTACGAAAAAGTCAATGCGCGCGTATCTGTCAAATGTACGGTTAGAGGGTTATTTCGCATTTTTTGCCGATCCGCACACATTGGAATGTGGCTAACTCGTCCTAAGGCTTTCGTCCCACTGACACCAAATTTGCTCAGGCCAATCTACACCCCATGGCCATTCAAAGTTTTAAAAATCATGACGCTGCACCCCACGGTTTACGTTCTAGGGGGCGCCAAAGATGACCCAAATATCCACATTCTTAAAAGAATCGACATCCCCCCCCCCCCATCCCCCATCCCCCATCCCCCATGGCAGGAGAAACAGTCAAGTTTTTCCTGCCCATCACTCAATGGCTCAATCGCATCGCTCTCCTGGCAACACCGTAACGAGGAGCAACTTGCCGTTTGGATATATCCTAGCTGTGTTTGTGCCCTCACTCATGGTCCAGACTTTTTTCAAATAGGACATGTAGTTTGTCTGCAGCGAGTGTTTTGGTAGAAACTGCGCCTCCCATTCATTATAATGGGAAATGACCACAGACAAGTGCGCACACCATCTTTGGACCTTGAGTGTGACGCGATCGGAAGGGGGAGGTGGTCGCACTGGGGGCGGCGCGACGCGGCTCGGGCCCGACAGTGCCCCACCGGGGCCCTAGTTATTATTATTTTTCCTCCCCTTTGAACTGGAAAATGGCCCACTTCCCACTGGCGAAAACTCATGAAATTTGGCAGGACGACCGGGCCTGGTGAAAAATTTGATATTCCGAAGTCGCCCAAACAAGAAAATGCAAAATGGCTCCAAAGCGCCCCCTAAGGTGAAAATTCACACTATTCACTGTCACGCCGGTACGCTTTGTCAAAATGACACAAAAATTGACACACACATGTATCTCAATAAGATCTACAAAAAAGTCAGTGCGGGCGTATCTGTCAAATGTACAATTAAAGGGTTATTTCGCATTTTTTGCCGATCCGCACACATTGGAATTTCGCTAACTCCTCCGAAGGCTTTCGTTCCACCGGCACCACATTTGCTCAGGCCAATCTACACCCCATGGCCATTAAAAGTTATTCAAATCATGACGCTGCACCCCACGGTTTAGGTTCTAGGGGGCGCCAAAGATAACCCTAAGATCCACATATTTAAAAGTCTTATAACTTTTTATTTTTGCCCTCAATGGCCTCCAAGTTTTCTAGGATGATGCAATGTCCAGCCATCAACACATTTGTGAAGGAATTTTTACTCCCCAAAAGAGCGCCCCCCCATGGCAGGAGAAAAAAGTCCATTTTTTCTTGTCCCCTAAGGTGAAAATACACATTGTTGAGTGTAACACCTGTACGCTTTGGCAAAATGACACAAAAATTGACACACACATGTATCTCAATAAGATCTACGAAAAAGTCAATGCGCGCGTATCTGTCAAATGTACGGTTAAAGGGTTATTCCGCATTTTTTGCCGATCCGCACACATTGGAATTTCGCTAACTCCTCCGAAGGCTTTCGTTCCACCGGCACCACATTTGCTCAGGCCAATCTACACCCCATGGCCATTAAAAGTTATTCAAATCATGACGCTGCACCCCACGGTTTAGGTTCTAGGGGGAGCCAAAGATAACCGTAAAATCCACATATTTAAAAGTCTTATAACTTTTTATTTTTGTCCCCACTGGCCTCCAAGTTTTCTAGGATGATGCAATGTCCAGCCATCAACACATTTGTGAAGGAATTTTTACTCGGCAAAAGAGCGCCCCCCCATGGCAGGAGAAAAAAGTCAATTTTTTCTTGTCCACTAAGGTGAAAATACACATTGTTGAGTGCTACGCCTGTATGTTTTGTCGTATTGACACAAAATTTTACATACACGTGTATTTACATAAGATCTTCGAAAAAGTCAATGGCCACGTATCTGTAAAATGTACGGTTAAAGGGTTATTTCGCATTTTTTGCAGATTCGCACACATTGGAATTTCGCTAATTCCTCCGAAGGCTTTCGTTCCACCGGCACCACATTTGCTCAGGCCAATCTACACCCCATGGCCATTAAAAGTTATTCAAATCATGACGCTGCACCCCACGGTTTAGGTTCTAGGGGGCGCCAAAGATAACCCTAAAATCCACATATTTAAAAGTCTTATAACTTTTTATTTTTGTCCTCACTGGCCTCCATGTTTTCTAGGATGATGCAATGTCCAGCCATCAACACATTTGTGAAGGAGTTTTTCTCTTTAAAAGAGCGCCCCCCATGGCAGGAGAATAAAGTCAAGTTTTTCCTGTTCATCATTCAATGGCTCAAACGCACTGCTCTCTCGGCAAAAGCGAAAGGAGGAGCAACTTGCCATTTGGATATATCTTAGCTGTGTTTGTGCCCTCACTCATGGTCCAGACTTTTTTCAAATAGGACATGGAGTTTTTCTGCAGCGAGCGTTTTGGTAGAAACTGCGCCTCCCGTTCATTATAATGGTAAATGACCACAAACAAGTGCGCACACCATCTTTGGACCTTGAGTGTGACGCGATCGGGATCGGGAGGCGGTCGCGCTGGGGGCGGCGTGACACGGCTCGGGCCCGCCAGTGCCCCAACGGGGCCCTAGTTACATACTGATAGTTGAACATTAAGGTAAGATGACAGCAACCAAAAAGAGGATAGCTGGCTATCAATTAGACACAACTTTTTACTGAGACCTAGGGTCTTCACTGATGATTCGCTTGCTTAACTGATTTGTAATTCTGGTGCCGCCCGATGAGGGTGTAATTTATAATCCTGTAAATGACTAAATGACCACATTTCTAGTTCATAATTCTGGAAAACCTCTCGAGATGAATGTTGATGCTTCCTCCATACAAAAGTCTTGGAGATGTATATTTCAAGTGGATCCTCTCCTGTTGTAGACCCTTCAGTGTCAGTTCTGATCACCCTTAACAGCTCCTGGGTCTCACTGAACCTCCCTGAGCTCTGCTGAATGACATCTCTTTTCGGAGTGGAGGTTGCATGCTCTCTCTTTGACCTCCGGTTGCTCTACTTCCTTCCCCCAGTCCAAAAACATGCACTTTAGTTTAAGTGTTTGTGAAAAAGGCAACCTGTCCCGAGTGTAAAAGGATCGGCTCCATAAACTAATATGGCTAATGGATAAATGTAGCCAAGCAAGATCTTAAAGTCATGCCATCATTACGTATGCATACAACATGTTAGGCAAATTCAATCACACGTTGACTGCCAGGCCAATATTCCAGCAGAGCTTTTACACATGATGTAGCATCACTAGCTGAATGAATGCACACATCACATACTATGAGGCTTAACATTACGCAGAGAAGGTCCATGAATATTGAAAATATATATTTGAATGTATGCAATTCATTCTTTATATACTTAAAAGAGAAAACAGTATGTCTCTCCCACCATTTTTTCAATGAAAATCTCACCTTTTATCTTATAACCTTTCCGTGCCCTGCAACAGAAGCGTTAGATTATGAGTGAAATACCAACAACAGACATTCTTGCAAAAAGTGGTACCAGTCATTAACAGACAGTGTACAGACTATTCAACAGCAGGTGAGCTCTGACATTGAATTATATAGTGGCTGAGAACCAATCTACAGCTTCATAACTTCATAACTCTTTTAAGTTTTTTTTTCAGTTTGTTTTTATCTCTGTGTTGTACTGTGTCCTTGGGTGTTTTGAAAGGTGCCTATGAATAAAATGTTTTATCATTATTAGCATTATTAAGTGTGCTACGGATTTGGAAATTATGCCCGTCCACTGATACAAGCAAAAGTCCCAAAAGTTTGCAACAGTTGCAATGAGCTGCAAAAACAGAGAGTGCAAAAAGATAATTGAACTGCATTGAAACTTCTTTAAGTTATAAACTCAGTTATAACTCAGTTTTTAGAGTT